AGGTTTTAAAAGAAGATAGATGAGTGGACTTGGTTATTGCAAAAGGAGAAAGATTATTTTAGGCAGAATCACCTGTGCTTCAGGGGAAGTCAAAGGAGCCTCATCATGGAGATGACGAATATTAGTTGTGCTTCATTTATCTTTTTGTATTTCCCATTAAGTAAAGTATCAGGCACACTGGAATGTGCAATTATTTTTCTCTTTGCATTTCAATATGATCTTTCTGAATTTTCTTCAGTGAATCAAAATTCACTTAATGGAGAAGGACAACCAGGAAATAACTCCTACAACAAAAAACAAATAAAGCAGGTAATCTAGAAGTTTCTGCGTCATAATTTCATTTTCAGAAGTGAAAAGAGAGCTCACTTTGCATTAGCATTTTTCTCACTACTACAACAGTATAGTAAATACATACGGGGGTTTTATAGTCAGAAAGTGGTGATAAGCTTATTACAAAAAAAAAAAGCTGTTTCATGCAAAGTCAATTTTTCTCAGGGTAGGACAGAGGTCTCATCATGTAGATGAGTATTGTTGAATAGGAGACGTCAGGTGAAGGGTTTAGAATCCTACTTTATACCACTTCTTAGGTGAGGTTTTAACTCTTGGTGGGATCCTGCATGAAGACCTTGGGGGCTATTGATTTTGTATTTGAAGGTTAGTCAAATGTGTGTGTGTGTGTGTTTGTGTATTACATTGGAGATATATTTTCTTTCTTTTTATTTATTTTTTCATAGAAGAGCTGCGATGTAGGCCAGAGGTGCAGTGGCTACAAGGATTCACCAGGGACAGAGTGGGGAGCAGAACAGGCAGATCCCCTATTGACACTGCTGAGGGGAGTTGTCGGAGACCATGCCAGATGTCAGAGTCCATCTGACATCACCTCGGCAGGGGTCTTTTTCCCCTAGGAGGAGGCAATGTCGGCACAATGAGCAATTGAGCCAGACACTGACACTCTGGCTGGTGCAAGTATCTCCTGCCGAAAACTTCAGCAGTTCTTTATTTAAACAATTTTCTAGTGGTGAGATTACATCAGTATTGGCATTGAAGCAAATCTTTAACAATTCATTTCCATGGCTACATAGAAAACTTTGTGTTTACATGTTACATGTTACATGTTACAAAGAAACTCTTTGATCACAGAAAGAATACCACCCAAAATAATCAGCATCCCCATTTTTTCAACATGATCAATCATTCTAGTCAGCATCTCAAATAAAGCAGCAAATCTCTAATTCCTCCTTTGAACAATTTTTTTTAGGTTAAATCTAAATTTAGATGTGTTTCTTTAAGTCCCTCCAAACTATCCCAGGAGGAGGCACATCCTGATCATATTTATTCATATTCCTAAAGACAATCTACATTCTTGAATTACGCTAAGGTTCTTTTCTGAGAGAACCATTGTCAATTATTAAACATTTTTGTAACTGGTTCTCAATGCCAAATCAGGCCACAAACAAAAGTGGACCAGGGATAGCTTGATGGTTAAATACAATTGCTGTTAGCCAAAGACAAGTACAAAGCAGTTCAGTAAACCTTGCTATGGAGACCCCCCCCCCCACCTTAGTATGTCTTCTTGGGAACCAAGCAGCCTCCATCTTCTTGGGAGTCTTGCCCGA